GGAGGAGGAGGCGGAGGAGGAAGGGCAGAGCACCCCTGGAGAGAAGGGGGGCAGCGACCCAGCCCTCGCCTCCCCTACTGGGGCACCGGGAGCCCCGTGGGGCCGAGCCCGGCGGGTCACAGCCCCGGAGGCACAGGGGACACCCAGACGAGAGCCCCAGCGGCACAGGTAAGGCGGGCAGAGGGGAGGAGGGGGCTGGCGAGGCGCGCTGCGGGGCCACACCACGCCTACAGCTCTCCCTTGGGTGGCCACCCACCCACACTGATGGGACACCAGCTTGGAGGCACCAGCTTTCTGCCCTGCTGGGAGGAGCACTGGGGATGTAGGTCTAGAAGGGCTGAGCCTGCCCTTGGCTAGCAGGAGTCCCCATGGGTTTTATTTTTGCCTTGTCTTGGTCTCTGGGTTCTGCATGACATCCCCTTTCTCCATCACCCTTCCATGAAGCGCAGCAAGAGACCAGAGAACTTCAGTGAGAGCTGTGGTAAGGTTTAAGGCTAACAGAAAATACAGATTCTTTGATGTTTTGGTTTTGCCCACAAACTTGTGACAAAACTTAAATTTCTTTTTGCAGCAGACAGCTGAAGGAGCAGGATGGGATGAGAAGGAAGCAGGGCTCAGCCCCCAGCGACTGAAGCTCTTTCTGTGGGTGCAGGTATCTTTACTTCACTTGATTTTTTTACCAGTTTAGACACAAAGGAGTTCCAGCTCCAGTCACAGAAACTGGGAGAAAATGCACTTAGCTCTTAGCCTTAAGGGGCAGCCTTTTTTTAATGAGGGGACACTGCTCTTACATGAAGGCCAGCACCAGGAGCCACTGCTGTCCTGAGCCTGCTGGATCCCAGCCACGCAAAACCTCCCACAGCCACCCCAGTTCCACCAGCAGTTGCCTGGAACAGACCCAACAACCTGGTTTCAGATGATCACATTTGAGTACACACCACACACTTTTATTTCACCAGAGCCCCTCCAGCCCTTCCCTCTGCCCGTGCTGCCTGCACATCCCCGTGAGCTCACACCAGCTTCTCCTGCATCTAGGCCAAGCACACACCCCCTGCCAGTTGTGGTACACACATTGCCTCTCAAAAAGGGGACAGCTAACTCCATGTTCATGGCTTCTTCCTGGCACTGGCCCTATTTACACAGCATAAAGTAAGGTACAGGATAGTCTCCTCCAACTGAGAACAGAGAGGGAAGGGACAACTCTTTGGTACCTAATGAGAGCTGTTGGTTCTCAGAGGCTTGAGAGAAGAGGGAGCAGGACCAGGCTGTGAGCTCGTGTGCTCAGGAGGTGCCACAAACGTGTAGGCTCATGGACAATCCTCCAGGCAGATTCAGGATCATCTGCTGCTGCTCCTCCAGCACAAGAAGAAAGCACAGCCATACCCAAGAGGGATCAGCAGAGCCCAAATTCCTCCTGCTCTCACACTTCTAAGCTTTCCAGCGTGTGGACAGTGCACACAGTCCCAGTTTTGGCAGAGGGAGGAGAGAGGGAGCATGTGCTCTATGCAGATTTCATGGATTGTAGTCACTTCCAAACTAAGCCTATTTAATCAGGAAGAGAAGGGAAAGTGAGAGGGAAAGGACAGGAAGAGGGAACAACACAGGCAGCAGAAAAAATAAGTTTACAATAAAATGATGCTTGCTCCCTTCAGCAGTGGCCACCAGGGTCAGCCCCACTACATGAACATCCCAAGCCCCAGCAGCTGGGGAGCTGGATGAAATACAAACAGACCTGAAAGGAGGAGGGGAGCAGACCTTGCCCCTCTGACCAGCAGCAGAAGGGGGTCGAGCACCACCCTGGCCTGGAAGGGGTCCCCTCCCTCCTGCACAGTGCTGAATGCTATCAGGCAGGAGCCACAGTCCAACAAAATCAAATCCACAGCTACACTGATCCTGATGAGAGCCCTTCTAGGCCCCACGTTACCCTTGGCACACCCTTACAAATGCCAAAGTGGAGAACTCTTCTCTTCAAATTCATGCAGAGCTCAGAGCAGCACTGACTCACTCTGGCATAAGCACCTGCCCTGCAGATCAGGGAGTCGATTCGTGAGAAGTGGAAACAAAAATTCAGCAGGATTTGTTCAGATTTATGAAAGCAGAAAGAAGGACAGATCTCCTGTGGGAGAGGGGAAAAGAAAAAAGACAAGACAGGACATCTGTGTAGGCTCTGGAATCCTCTCCCACAACGCAGCTCCGAGTTCCCTGCTGTGCCAGTCCTGAGGAGGGAAGGAGGGAAGGTCTCTTGTCCCTTACAGCTGGTGGAGGGTTTGTAAGAACACGTGGCGAGCGACTGAACAGGACTCAAATGCACGGTTTGGTCTGGGGAAAGAGAAGAGAAAGATTTAAAACACACTGGGCTTGCATGCCCAAAAGCCTCCACCCTTTTCCCCCTCAGTTAGCTCTTCTGAAACTGCCCCCTCATGGCTGCACAGATCACAGCTTTCCCTTCAGAGCTGGCTGGGGAAAACTGAGTCAGGCAGGAAGACAACAGCATCAGGCCATTTATTTCCACAGGTACAGAAGTCAGCAGCAGATTGTTGATCTCTGCAGCCTGGTGTCTCGTTTTGGGTAGGGCAAAGCAGGTGGGGGTGGAAGCCCCTTTCCCTCCCTTCTGGCAGTGGAGTTTTCCATATAGCTCCACTGTTTAGGGCCCCAAAGCACAAGAGACAAGCCTGATGATACTCAAACCCTTTCCCACCAAGTCATTTGCTATCTATGACCCACCAGTGACTTTGGCCTCAGAGCTTTTTAAGTCTTTAAAAGAGGCCATGTAACCTCCTGCCCTCCCCACCCCTGAGGTCAAGTCACACCTGACTCCCTTTGCTGGGCCACCTTTCAGGGGGCCCTACAAGCAGCCCACAATGGAAACAGAGTCACAGCAGGGTTAACCTGGGGCTAAGCTTCCCCAGCACTCCCATCACCTCCCAGTAACATACATTTCAGTTTCCACAAGCTAACTTGTAGAAAATCCACCCATTAGGGAACTTCCTCCAAAGAATTTTAATCCAATGTTTTCCAGTGGTCTGAGAATGGAAATCATTTTACCCTTCTCCCACTCCACCACAGAAAAATAACCTTTAATCACTAAGAGCAGTGAGGTCTACTGAGTTTGGGACAGAAGGGTCTGCTCTGGTTTAACAGAAGCTGTGCTACAGACTGTTGAAAGAGGTGAGTGCTGTCATCCAGTTCAACAGCAGAGTAGCAAAAAAAGAAAACCCAAACCCAAAAAACCCAACCCTTACAAAAAAAAACCCCAACATCACAACCTCTAACAAGTCACAAGAGGGCAGAGAAACACCCACACACCTTCAGTGTTTCCATTTTAAAAAAAGATGGATTCACAGCACCCTCTCGTGTCCAAAAAAACCCAAGGGGAGGACTGGCAGCAGAGTAAGATGGAGGCTGCTTACAGGGTGGATCCAGAATTCTTATTTTTGAATGCAGAGCACCACTAGATCTGCTGCCCCCTGTGAGAGGCTTGTGGCTCTCAACTCCTACAGAACCTTTCAACAATCTCACTTTCAGAGTCTCTTCTTCCCTCATGTACTTGCAGTGAAATGCTAGCTCTGGATTCAGTGGAATTTATTGATGAATTCATCCAGACCAGAATTTTACTCTGGTCACATACAGCATCATCTACAGATGACAAACATTTACTGGCATTTTGCAGGCCTGGGGGAGGCCTAAGTACACACCAGGAAAGGGGACAAGTGTGTTTGGTGAGCATATTTTAGGACAACATGTCAAACTGAGTTATGAGGCTACTCTAGACACTGGAATCTGACAAGCAATTAAAAGGGTCAAATGCACTGACCCCAAGTCCCCTTTCCTGCATGCCCAGCTCTGAGTGATTTAAATCCTCTGGCTGGAGCTGACAGACACTAGGTGGTACTTGATTTGATCAAGCTTAGTCTCTGCGTAATTAGTGCCTGATGAAGTCAGCCATCATTTTCTTCACCCTTTTAATTTAGAGCTGGCATCAGCTCCTTACACTGTATGTATCCAGTTGATCAACAAGCCAAGGTCACAGGCAGCAGTGTAGGAAACAGCAGAAATCCAGTGACCTGTCTGGACAACTTCACGTGGCAAGTCCTGATACTTCTTGCTTAAACCTATAATGATGGAGCTGAAGGTTTGGGTTGGAAGGGACCTTCAAAATCATCTAGTTCCAACCCCCTGGCATAGGCAGGGACACCTCCCACTGGACCAGGTCACACAAAGCCCCATCCAACCTGGTCTTGAACACTTCCAGTGGTACAGCATCCACAATTTCCTTGGGCAACCTGTTCCAGTCTCTCACCACCCTCATAATGAAGAGCTTAACAAGTTCTGCCCTGCTTCCAGTCTCAGTAGAACTAAGAAAAGACCAGCTACCAATATTTGACTGCATTGCTATTGCCCAGGCTTTGTACTGATGCCTCTGCCTTTTGTCAGCAGAAGACCCAACCTTCAGCATGTTCCCCACACCAGGAAGGCTTAAACCTTGTTTTGGAGCCTCCTTAGAAGCTGCTCTTGCCTGATGTGCCACAATGGCCCATGCTGAGCCAAAACCCCACAGAGTTCCAAAAGGATTTCAGACGTTGTCCAGTTCTGCTTCACATGACAACTTTGGACTGTTTCTCCCCTTCTCTGCTGAAGTCCTTGCTCTTTTGAGGAAAAGACTAACTGCAGTGGTTCTTTCTAAATCACATCAGTGCTAAGATTCTCACTGACTTAATCCAGAGGAGATAGATACACTATTCCTCCACCACTATTCCCCCACTATTGCATTATCTGTGCTTTAAGACACTAAAGAAGGGAAAGCTGCTGGGGGCAGGAGTTGATTCTATACCCAGACAAGAAGTAACAACATTAAATAGAGGCAGGAAATAGAAGCAGCTTCCTCAACACTTATGCTCCCAATTTAGTTCAACAAAAGAGGAAAAAAAAATCACTAGCCATGTTGCTGTCACAGTAGGAACAGTTTCATCTAGGAACACATTCAGTCTGTGTTTTGCAGTGTTTTGATCTGCTGGTGATTCAGTGTTACACAGCAGGAGGACTCAGGTCAAACTCTGCTGACCCACATTCTCAGAAAGAGGATTTGGAGGCCACACTTAGATCCAGGGTGTTCATAGTTCAACTCCAGCAGTGGCTAGAAGCCCAGCAGGCTTCCTCCAGCTCAAAGCCCTCTGCTGTGACTGGCATCAGCCTCTGCTTCAGAGCCAGCTCATCACACGAGTCAGCTTTCCACCATTTCTTCCTTAGGAGCAAGACTTCTTAGTCTAAACTCTGCATTCTGGAGTAAGCAAGATAAAAGTAGAGGCCCAAAGTACTAACGCCTAAATTCCAGAGCAGGTATTGAGTGGGGTTTAACAGAACAGCTGGTTTGTAGCTATCAGCTCAGTGTCACCAGCTCCCTCAGAGAAGGCTGCATGGCAAGGACAATACTCACTTTGTGACAAATGCTAAGAGAACTGGGACCAGTGATTTAGGGAAATAATCCTGCTGGACCATGTGGTTCAAGGTCATAAGAATACCATAGAGGCTTGGGACAGCTTTGATCTTCTCTTCACTCTGAGAAAAAAGACAAGAATTAAGTTAGACAACAGACAGTCACTATTTTATCTAATCCACTACAGTTCAGAGCCAATGAATTCTTTGTTGAATGAAGTGCTGCCACATGCTGCTTTATTTCAGAGGCTACAGAGCAAGCTACCTTTGTCTTGAGGAACATTGCACATAATTTCATGAGCAGTTTTCTCTCCTACAGCACCTAGAACATTCTAGCCATTCACAGCAGCAACAATTGGGAAAGAGAGGTAATGAACTTGCAAGTGAAACAGTCACATCTCAGAGGCCCTGTGTCAAAATGTTCTCTCAGGAATTTCACTGGACTTCAGTTCATGTAGAATTCAGTTTCCTTAATTACAAACATTTTCCTGGTACTGTTCTGCAGCTCATTTTTGTACTACCTCCAGTTCTTTGGCAGGTTTCCTCCAAAACTTTGTGTTGAATTCCCAGAACTGGTCTCAGTTATGCACAGGATAAAGCTGATAATCATCCCTACTGCTGTTCCCTACTTAAATGATGCATAAGTTATTCTTGCTACTAATGTGATGCTAACCTACATGTCCCAACTCTTCCACTGTTTTATTTCTCCACTGCCATGCCAACTAAAGCCCTTCATTCTCTGGGCAGGATCTGGACCTGTGTTCCTGGGTGTATGACCTTGTATTTCATGGTGCCAAGACCATGGCTGCTCTGTGGTTTAGAACTGTCTTGGTTCAAGTTCCCACTCTCAGCTTCTAGGTCTCAAGGCAGCAAGAAACATTAACCTTTGTAGCACAAGTAGCCAGAGGTGCTCCTCAAGTCTGCAGACAGAAACTCTCCCCATTCATTTCACAGAAGGTAAAGCCACAGGTATTCCCATGCAGCGTGCACTGCAGGAGGGTCCTACTGACCCTCAGCAAGTTTATTTCACATAATACCTATCTGACTCTAGTATTTGGCAAAGATAACTCCAAAGCATGAAGTTGAATGCCACTGATCTAGCACAGGTAGCTGGATGTTGAGTTTTAAGCCATATTACTAAGAGGTGCCCTAAAGAAACTAGTAATATTATAGATTAGACTCCTGGACATGGCTTTTTATAGAAACCATAGTCCAGCAGCAGCACTGTTTCCTTCCCTGACTCTCCCTACCTCTGGGGGATGCCAGAATGCAGAGCACACAGAGCTGACACCTCTTTCAGCCTAGTGCAACCTTGCAGTTTGCAGCTTCTGCTGGACCTGCAGGCTTCCATTGTCCCTGGGCACCAGGCATGCACAGGCAGCCAGCAGCTCCCATGGCAACATAATTACCCAAAACCCAACCAGGCCGCTCTTCAGCAGTCCAAACAGACCATGACTTAACTCCTTCCTGCTTCCTCACCTTCAGTAGCCCCATGTGGATCAAGAGGCTTGTGACAAAGGCATCTGAGTTGAATGTGGCAGAAGTGAAGGCTTTCCTCATCAAGGCATCTAAAGAGAAATAAATGCATCATATCAAACAATACAGAAAGGGATGTTCTTATGGATTTGAGGATCAAGATGGATCATACAGGATCTCAGGGAATATCAGCTGTTAGAGAAGTTTTAGGAAGTAATATCTGTTAAGAATCCAGTTGTCTCCACAGTATAATCTCTGAAACACTGAGACAGGTAAAACCCAGTCTTTAAGTGTAAGACCTGATAAAAAGGGAAAAAAAAACACAACACAAAACCACCCAAACAAACAAAAAAATCCCAACAAACCCAAGCGAAAAAACGCTCCCACACTGCCAAGCTTCACATGCAGCTTGACCTCAGTCCTGTGCACCACCCAATGCTGTACCCCATGCATTCGACTGACCTTTCAAAGGCCAACAAGAATTCACCCTTCCTTTGAAACCACAAGGAATGAGAGCATGAGAAAACTCATTCAGCTGTTTCCTGGGCTCCTCAGGACCAGTAATTCTGCCCCAAGCCCCAGGCAAACCAGAGAGGCTTTAGCCTCTCATGTCTAGAGAGTAGGCAAGGCACCTGTTTGGACTTGTGACCACTTTGGTTTCTTCAAATGGGCAGAACCCACCAGAGCAGGTGAGGAACAGTGTCAGGCATTAACCAGGGACCTCACTGATGGTTACTCTTCTGGAAGGAAAGCAATTACTGGGTTCTACCTTTCTTCTTCCTGAAGAAATTAGGGATGTTTCAGACTGATAAGAAGAGACACTAAGAGGTCTCTCTTTACACTCTCTTAATATCACACTGGAGGAGCAACTTTCTGCCAAATACTTTAAAATAAACAGCCTTGAAAAAGTAACTGGCCTTGGAACACAGAATACTGGCTCCTAGCAGCATCAAGGAGATAAGCAAGAGCAGCACAGGTCCACTAAGAGCAACCACAGACATCATCAGGCTTTAGAAGCACAAGATATACCAAGTTCAGAATCGATCCCTACTTCCACTCCCCACAGCAGCATGGCACAGCCTGGTACTTTGTTATCTGGGGTGTCCTACTGCCAGGGACAAAGGAGCCCCAGGGCCTGGCCCCCACACATCACACTGGCATCCCTGAACACCAAAGCAGGTCACCCCATGAAGGGAAGAAAGGCCCAGTCACCTGTTGTATCCTGCACTGCTGTTTTCACTGCAGCATCATCTTTGAAGAGAGAGGATACCCTTAGGAGAGTTGTAACTACTTTCTCTACGTCAGATATATCTGTCTGAAAGACAAGAAAAAAGAAAATTTAAAGAAATCAAGGGCAAATCAGTTCACTGCTCACCAGTTACAGAAGATGGGTCTCTGCAAGGGCTGTTAGGCCTCCAGTTGATTGTCAGTTTTGCCTCAGCCATATCACAAGGCATAAGCAACACTGAAAAAGTTACTCTGTGTGGAAGCTCTGATGCCAGTATAGGCCTTAACTGCATCATCTGCTTCTATAAGGTTCCTCAGACCACTGGGGAGAAGATGCAAATCAGGTCTCAACAGAGAAAAAAAAGTCATTGCCTCTGTCAACTAGATTCTTCTGAGAGAGCATCAAGCAGAGAAGAGCAGCACCCTCACCTACCTGCTGAGCTATCAGCACAGGGCACTTTGGTCCCAGCCGCAGCAGCTTCTCTGGGGAGGGGAAGGCCAGGAAGGTGGCAATGTCCACGGGAGGAGATGGCACTGGGCTCGAGTCCTGAAACAGCCACCATTCACCTCAGGTTTACTCTTGGAAGTAAATAAATGAGTTCAGCAGCAAAGCCACACAGGACAGGTCAGGACAGAGGTACAGCAGGTCAGCAGTTGTTCTGCTTGAGGCTGGAATGAGCCCCGAGCTGGAACAGGCAGAATGTGCCAGTACAACTGCCTGGCATCACACATACAAGGTTCCCACCATCTTCTGGATGACCTGTGTTTGCTGCAGCTGCTTCTCAGCTTTTCCCTCCATAATGTGTGTGCACATGCACTCTAACATGTTTCCAAGTCATCCCTTTTCTTTATTTCCTGCAGGGGATCTCCCTGGCTGTTACTACAGGGCCAGCCCACACAGGAAGGTGAGCTCCTGCCAGCACTCCCAGTTCAGACTCCCTCCAGATCTCCTGCCCTCCTTTGGTCTCCCCTCCAGCTGAGCAAACAGGAATGCAACTGGAAGTTTACCTGTGAATCAATTATCTTCTTAGAAGTCAGCAGCTCCTGTTCTCCCTGTCCCCTCTCCTTCAGCTGTTGCTGTTCTTCCTCCTCCTCTTCCTCCTCCTCTTCATCTTCATCTTCCCTATCTCGATTCTCCTCATCTCCTTCATCATCGCTAAGGTTTGGGAGTTGTGTCACGTTAATTATTACACACTTGCAATTACCATACACTGCAACCCAAACAGCCTTTCAAGAACAAAAAAGCACCCACCCCTCAGGTCTTACTGAGAAGTTCCTCTCCACCTCCACCAGCCTGAGAGGACACTCAGGCTTCAGTCACTGAGTTAACAGCAGCAAGCAAATAGCAAGGGATGCAATCAATACCCACCACCAAGATAAGTCCATCCATGGGAATGAGAGACAGGCTCATCCTGCTCATGGAATCCTTTGACTCTGCTCCACATCATACTCACACCCACAGCCACCCACAACATTACAGTGCTTATTTTAAAGCAGATAGGTGAATAAATGAACAGATGAAAACTGCTGAAAAATGTCCAGTTCCAGTTCTGGCCCCCTGCCTACCTCAGAGGTCCCAGCACAGCTGCCATATTGAAGCCTTCAATGATCTCCTGGACTTGCTCACACCCCTCTTCTCCCAGACAGTTGCCTAGGTTGACAGAAGAAAGGGAGCAGACTTAACAGATGGCACACAAGTTTGGTTTTGAGGATTTAGCTGTATATTCTTGTCTGCCTTATTCCTGAAGTTGAACAGTTCTCAGTCATTTCTACACAATACCTTAGAGGCAGCAATGCAGATCTCAGCTGAGAGTCAAGCAGTTGTTTAACAACTGTCTTGGCTCACTAGAAAAGAACTCATTCTGCTCAGCAATTTTACTTTCATATATTTCATTTTATTACTATTTTCATTACAACTGTTTTAGTTTTCCAATCCATAACTCTCTCCCTTATTCCATTTCTTGTCCCCTTTAGGAGAGGGTTTAGTAGAGAGCATCAGTCATTAGTCTAGTGACCAGCCCAGTCCTAACCCTTAAACTTCACCAGCACTGCACAATGGTTGGAGACAAATCACCTAATTGTTCAGTGTCTTTGTGAGACTTCCTGCTAGTTCAGTGAACAGCTCTTGTTCTCAGTGATTCTAAAGCAGATTCAGGGCACAGCACCACTGCAATGCAGTGACCCAAGGTGTGAACAGCAAAAGCCAACGCTGGTCAAAGTTCTCCCAGTCTTCTGCAGAGATGCACACAGAGGTTTTTGTTTGTAAGTGTGAAATACTGAAAGCATTTAGGTATCAATTTAAATTCTTTCCACCTTACACGATGTACCAAAACTGCTTAGCTTTAACAATTAACTGAGTTCATGGCTTAAGAAAACTTTCAGGGTCTGCTTCCTGTCCTGAGATCATCCAAGTTCAGCCACTCAGAATACTGTTTTTCAAATGCTGACAACTGTAAGACCAGAACATGTTACTGTCAACATTTCTTCCTCATGGTTTATTGTTGCAGCCAGGCTAGACATGCTTTGATAAGCTTCCATACCATTGAGATCCAGCTTCTCCAACTCTGCCTTATCTTCAATGGCTTCAGCAACAATCAGAGCAGCGTCTCGTTTGATCTCACAGAAGGACAAATTCAGTTCCTAAGGAGGAGAACAACATTTGTTTGCAGAATTCCTATTAACATCTAGCATACCCATAAGCTTCCTGTGCTCACAAGTGTTATGGAAAGACTAATTTGAAGAGGCTTTTAGCAAAAAAAAAAGTAATTTTAATTGAAAATAACACCTGAAACATACTCCTACTTTATACCTAAGAGGGATATTTTGAACCATACTCATGTTAGGAGCACCACTACTGAAGGTAAGCACTTCACTACAACAGCCCATCTAAAAGGCAGCAGACATTTCAGTCCTTAGCAATCAGCTGACTTAGCTGAGATTTTCACTGATTCAAGGGTCATAAGAGCACTGCAGAATTCAAACACCAGTACGTCTTACTGAGAAAGGGTAGCTACTGTACTAAACAGACTGCACATTTGCTTTTCAACACTCAGCTGGCAAGTTAAGGCCTTCAAAAGAAACTAGGAGCAGCACTGCTTCTGATCAACAACACAGCCAGCAGAAAAACACCATGGGCAGACTAGTAAGAGTGAAGTTATTCAACAGCCAGGCACCATCTGCCACCATTCCACACTGTGCTCAATCCATCCCTTCTGAGAAGGGATTTAATATGAATAGCAGAAAGGAAGCAGTCCTTGAACAGAAGGAATCAGCTGCCATTGCTTCATCCTACCCTCCCTAACCACTTCTGCTTCAGCAAAAAAGGATTTAACTTCTGGCTGTTCAATAGCCCCCTTAGAATCCTTGAGTCTTCCTGGGAGATTCAGATATAAGTTCCAGCAGAACCAGCAGAGGTCTGAGCAAGGGATCTCACACCACAAAATAATAGACACAAAGAAATATCAGGATTCAGCTGAATTATCTTTGAGTAAGTTTGCAAAATTAGCAGTTGTGTTCAGCATCTCTCCAGCACAGCTGTGACTTGTGGGAGGTGTTTCTAGAGACCCTCATCTACTGACATTACTGACTGGACTTGGGCCTGTCTAGAATGCTGTCAAGCCTAAGTCCTGTGCAAATACCTGTGCCAAAAAAAAAAAAACTAAAAATATTTTGACCTTTGATACATTCCCTAACACAGAAAAAGCATTCACTGTATGAACTCTGAAATGCTGAAGAGTTTACAAGCTGTTCATGAGAAGGAACATCCCAGTCTCTGCTCAGGATGCTCTGAGAGGTTCTAAAATCAGATACATACACTACCAGATTTCTGGAATAGCACTTGCTGAGCTGAACCAACAGCTTCAAAACCATCAAGGGGAGTTTAAACAGATCACTGGGACACAGTCTGCTCAGTGCTTTCAAGTTGTGAGCACAGAGGCTGCACTGAAGTGACCCCAGCTTCAAAATAATCGGTCACAGTAGGAGAACGGGCAGAAAAACAGGAAATGGGAAACCAAACATCTTCCAAATTCAAGAGATTCAAAGAGAACAGGGAGAAGACAATACCTTTAGTTTATGAAGCCCTTCTTTGACAGCATCAGCGATGGCCACGGCGCCCTTTGAACGCACCAGGCAGTCCCCAAAGTTGATGACTTCAACTTGCCGAAGCACCTTCAGGGTCTGCAAGACAGCACAGGCTTGAGAGGACAGACAGACAGGTAGAGGGATGTCCTCCCACTCCCACAAGGGCCACCCTTCCCACTGCAGCATGGCCTGCAGCTCCACCAGCCCAGAGGGGTTAATGCTAGCTAGATTCAGCAGACTGGGAAGAAGAGAAACCCAAAGGAAGGGCTTAGCACAGCTCACCTCTGCCATGGCCACGCCTCCTTTCTCTGTGAAGGTGTTGTCATTCAAGTTTATAACCTTAAGCAGGGGGTTGATGGCAAAGGCCTGGGCCAGCGCTGTGATGCCAGGATGGTTAATTCCATTCTGTGGCATATGGACCTCTTCTAGGGTCCCAATGATCTGGGAAAGGATGCAGATGAAAAAAACAGCTGTTAGGAGACATACTTCAGCTCAAGAATACACTGCTCCACTCTAGGATTTGCTTAAAATTGTCTTCCTCTAACTCAGACCTCCACTAGCTCTTCCATATAGATTGTTACCAGTGACTGTCACAGATCTAAGTGAATTGCCAGGCTCGTGGCAGGTGTCAGATAAACGTAAAGCCCTGATTCCAAGAGTCACAAGTAGCATCCTCCCAGCACGCCTGCTCTACATACCCTAAAACCAGAGCTCTTCACCTGTGCTTCAACAACACTGAAACAGACCAAGCAACATCACTGGATACAGCATTTTTCTAATTAAGGTCTACATTTTGCCCTGACTGCAGAAGCAAACCCACAAGAAAATTAGTATGAGTACTATTTGTGGACTAACCAGCACAGAACACAGGAGTGAACCCACCCTGGTAGTGCCATTCAGTTGAATTCCTCATGAATAACTCCATGTGCCTCTCAAGTATTTCAGAAGTCTTATTTTTGCCACTGCCTCCACGCTGATCCAAACTGTGTGCATCATCTTTAAGGTCAGTATCCAAGCACACCTTGCTCCTCTTTGCTGTCAAGAAGTACTTACCCCAAAGGCTTCAGCCAGGGCAGTGGCACCATCATTCTCCAGACGGTTTCTGCCAGCTACAAATATTTTCAAAGCAAGAGGCTTGCCCTGGGCACTCGATTTCCTGTGACCCTCTTTCAGAGCAGCTGCCAAAATCTAGTGATAAAAACAAGCAGTTTATAACAACCTCAGCATCTCATTCTGTGAGAATCCAAATGGGGTTTGTACCTCCAGCTCTCAGTACGCTCTCTTGGTGTGGAATCTAATGTTTAGGATAGAACTGTTTTCCTACCCTGGAAAAACAAATGAGCTTTTCATACTTCAGAAATTTATCCATGAAAACAAGTAGAGGGAAGAGATCTTGTGACTGGAGAAATGGGCCAACAAGAATCTCACTAAGTTTAAAGGGAAATGAGAAGTCCTGCAAATGGAGAGGAAGAGCCCCACATACCAGCACAAGCTGGGGGCAAACAGCTTGGCAGAGAAGAACCTGGGGGTCCTAATGGGGGAGAAGCTGACTATGAGCTGGCAGCTCAAAGTCTACCAGGAAAAGCCTTGGGAAAGGCCACTGTCAGCAGGTCAAGGGAAGAAACTCTTCTCTGCTCAGCCCTGTGAAACACCCAGGTACTGTGTCTAGTTCCAGACTCCTACACAGACATAGTGGGGTGAGCCTAGCAAAGGGTCCCAAGGATGATTAAGGATTTTGAGAATTTTACATACTGTGGGAGTGCTGAGAGCTGAGATTAAGGCTGGAGAAGAGAATGGTCTGGGGGAGATCTCATCCATGTGCAAGAACAGCCAGAAGAACAGGAGGGGGGGCAGTGGGGGTGTAAAGGCAGAGCCAAGTGCATGCAAACAGAGGCAGATAAAATGCCATTTAAACAACCTTTTTTATTGTGAGGGTGAACTAACACTGGGATAGACTCTCCAGAAAGCCTGTGAAATCTCCATCCTTTGAGATATTCAAAGCCTGACTAGACACAGCCCTGAGCAACCTGGTCTAGATGCCTTGAGCAGGGGAGTCAAACTAGACAATCAAAGATCTGTGATGCTGTGTAGGGCAGTATGAAGCCAAGTCCTGGCTCTGCCCTCCTACCCAAAAAAAGGAGGTGACCCTTACCTTGCCACCCCCAATGCCCATGCCACAGTTATTGAGCTTGAGCTCCTGCAGGGTGTAGCAGGAGGGGCTCTTGAGCAGCGCCTCGAAGCCACGCACACCATCAGGCCCAAAGGCATTGTCACTCAGGTCCAGTTCCACCAGCTGGGCTCCAGCAGTGATCACTGCATCCCCCAGAGAGATCTGCAAGGAAACAGAGGGCAGTGGGTGGGTGGGTGCGTGGGAGGGAGGGGGTTGACTTTTAGCAACAGCATCACTGCAGTGGCTAAGGTACAACGGCGACGCTGTAAAAAATTTCCACTTTGAAGCCATTCAGCTGAATCACATGGGAAATAAAACTTCACAGCAAAAGCCAGAGAACAGGTTGAGGAAATTAAGCTAAAGAGAACCATAGGGCAGTTACCAGAAAGTTATCCCATGCCTTTGGGTCAAATGTACATTTTTCAAAGCGAGTCTCCCCCTCTCTACACAGCTAAAAGAAATACTGCTTGGGTTCTGTTGAGTTTCTCATGTTCTTGATTCACAGGACTAAAGGAGACAGAGAGCTCTGTAGTGTATTTGGAAGAGAGAGACATGTGCTTTTATTTAGAAAGCTTAGTTCCCATTCTATCTATCAAATCATGAGGATGTTCTGCTCAGTGACAAGCTTCTTCACTAGCATGGACTTGCACTTGGCCTTCTACCAACTCTTCTCCACCTTGTCCAGAAGGAGCAAGGAAGAATCACTTGCCTCTTTTGAGACACTAGAGAAAGATGAACTCTGTGCTAAAAATCACACTCCCACAAAAAGCATGACAGGTGAGAAAAGTTCTATTACTCAGAATTCTCAGGTCTAGTTTTTACTTACCAAAGCAGGAGGGATCTCAGACCTCAGTCTCCCTGTGAACATGTCACCCCAATGACACCTCTAAAATAAGAAACATACAGATAGGAACCATTAAAAATATTTGGGACAACACAGTTGTAGGGAGGTTAACACATACAAGTTGCATCACATCCCTGGAGACAGCTTAATCCTGCCTGCCCACCCTTGGGCTTGCCCTCTGATTGTACCAAAGAGCTCCAAGAACTAATGCTACAATTACTTCACTTGCTAGGACATAAAGCCACTGATATGTGGCAAATAACACTATACAAGAATCCTTGCTCTCATTCAAGCTGGAATTTTCTCAGCAGAAATGAATTCCCACAGGGAAAAGCAGCAGGAAACTGAAGGATACATTAGGAATGCAGATTTTACTTAAGGTATGGAGCTCAACAACACAATCTTGCTTGAAAAGCCACACTTGGGTGACCAGCATGAATGTTTCACACTTCTCCTGCATGGGACAGCACCTCCAGCAGCACAGCAGCCTCCTAACATTCTAGCACAGCAGCAGGGAAACAGCTTGGACATGGAAAAACCTCCTGGTGTATTTCCTCCATTATCTCTTCCCTATGCAGGCATTGCCTGAAGACTCATTCTTCAGGTCTGATCATTCTCCAGAGGACACCACCCAGCTTGTCCATTAGAATTTAGGTTCTGTTGCCACAGCTTTGTTACAAATGCTTCCTCTGCAGAGGCTCTTCCTTGCCTAGCTTCCCAGCTTTAAGACTGGGAGTGTTCTGAGGAGCTGCAGTTGGGAATGCAGAAAGCATTCCCACTACCCCAAAGTCCCCAAGTTCTGCCACATTTTCACATGGTCATTCTTCCTACTGGAACAACCACCAGGCAAGCTTTGGGTCTAACTCAAGGCAGGCTACTGCAGGAAGAGCACAGGGAGGCCTTCCTTATTTCTGTACTACTACTTCTCCACCACCACCCACTTGAGGATCTCACCTTGAGCTCTGATTTCTTCTCCAAGGCTTTGGCAATGACCTTTGCTGCCTCCACACCCACCGTGTTGCCTTCCAGACTCAACACTTCCAGGTCATCACATTCCTCAATTTCCTTGATCACTGCTTCAGCTGCAAAAAAGCAGAGAATTGTTGGACTTTTAACTATCATCTTAGGTACCCCAGGAACACTGTGCAGCAACACATCCTTAACTCCACCACTAGGGAAAACAGCAGAGCAACACTACTGGGAAGAATCCTGAAACAGCAATGGATAACAGAGCTAAAATGTCAAGCCCCTAGGGAGAACATTCCCCCTTCCCCACCCTGCCTTTTCATAAGTTATTTCTAGTTTTATTATTTCTATTCTCCAATAGCCACCCTCCTATTTGTCCCCTACTTCCTAAAGAAGATTCCTCTGCCATTCAGCAGCTAGTTTAGGAGCCAGAGGGTCTGTGCCTGCAAAGCCACAAGGACTAAGCTAAAAGTTGATGGGAATCAGTGCCACAAACAGGGAAAAATTCCCCCGGCAAAGCAGATGTCTGTCAGGGTGGAACAATTGAACTCCAGAGCAATCCTATGCAAGGCAGGAGCAGGCTGCAGACTCTCTCCAGTCCCTGGGTGCTTGTTACCAGTTCTCAGTTCCAAAGCCTCTCCCCACAGTTCACTGGCTTTGCACTACACTGGAATTTTTTACCATAAGGGTGGTGAGACACTGGCACAGGTTGCCCAAAGAGGTGGTAGATGCCCCATCTCTGGAAATATTCAGGAGCAGGGTGGATGGAGCTCTGAGCAACCTGGTCTAGTTGAAGATGTCCCTGCTCACTGCAGTGTGGGTTGGACTGGATGATCTTTAAAGGTCCTTTCCAACCCAAAACTTTCTATGATACTAAAACAGCATATAAAAGAGCATCACCTTTGGAATCAGTAGAAAAGGCATGACTACAGCCAATAACCTCTGAAGAACATGCTGTTTCCTGATGTGGCAGAGATGCTGATCTAAGAATATATATATTCTTCAAATATTTACTACATTATCAGACATTTTTAATAGGGAAACACATAAAAATAGAGATACTCTGGAAAAAAAAAAAAACAATTGATCAGAATTAAGGAAGAAACTGGACTACTGCAGCAGACCAATGTATCAGCCCACTCCCCTGTGCAGGTCTTTGAAGCAGCTCTTTGTTCCAAGTGCTGTCAGGCACTTGCTTACTTTTTAAAAAGGAGCACTGACTTCTAATGCACAGCAACTGCCAAAAGCACTTGGAGAGAACTGGAAGGAAACAAGAATCACCCAGCAGAGAGCCAAATGCCAAGTCTGCCAGCTGTAGCACTGCCAGTGGAGCAGGTCAGAGCAGGGTACAAGGAGGGAAGGAAACGTCTCTATCAGAAGCAGCTGTAGCTGAAAGACTCCTCCATTCTGCCAACTTGTCCATGCAGGATTAGCAGGAAGTTTACCACAAGGCTTTAGAATTTCAGGAGGAGGATTCCCAAACACAAGGGTCTTTTCTCTTACCATCTCCAGCCGTGTCCAGTTTAAGGGCCCGGTCTTTGAAGCTCAACTGTCCACCACCCACTGTGGTTTTGGCAAGTGACTCTGCGAGCTTGGCAATGTCTTCTGATGCCATCTTTCTGCTTTTCTAAATGTTAAGAGCTGTCAATATAAAAGAGCAAGGCACAACACAACCTCTATGAATAATATGTATTTGAATACTAATGTGGGTGTTGTTCCTAAGGTATCTAATTCAGTTTTCAGTGTCATTAGTGTTTCCCCAATATCTCAAAGCCAGCCAGTCAGATGGTGCTGATTCTTCCACTACTGACAAGATTTGCATTTTGATGGCCTTGATATGCTTCATAAATAACCAGCAGCAAAAACTATGGACTGAGGCCACGTTAAGACATACTCTTTGCACAACACTTCTGCAATTAAAGCATTCTTCTCTCCCCAAACCCCATCCTTTACACATCACACATCTTCCTTTCCAGTGACAGCCCCAGCAGTGCCCTCAGCAGCATAGTTCTAGAAGCACTGAGCTGCTGAAAACCTCACGTGTTTTGCACACAAAACTCTCTCAGGTTTGGGGCTTCTCTTTCCTTTTGGATGTCCCACGTGGATTTGTCACACACAAAGAGGGTGATCTTACACTGAGGATAGATTAGGTAATGCTTTGCCTCAAGGCACAGGTCTGAGTCTAGCCAGGCCTAGCAGCATCTGCATGCTATAATTTCATAAATATCAATCACTGATACCTAGCTGCGAAGTGTTTGCCTTCGGTTTCCCCAGAGTACAGCTTCTCTTCAGCTTTCATTAGCTTTACTTGTGCTTTTGGACACAGGGGAATAAAAACATCCCCAAGGCTGATCCACATCACTTCTCTAGGATGACTGTCTCCCCAAGTAGGTGCTGCCAGCATAGAGATGCTCACAGAACTCACTCCACCCCCCCCCCAGACTGATGGAGACTCCCAACCTCTGCCAATCCAGCACCCAGGAGGAGGAAAGAGAAGACACCCTCCAACCTCTGGAGGCTTTACTAGACAGGAACAAAAGTGAGGATCCAAAGATGTCAGACTGTTCACCCAGCTCAATTATTATGTTAATTTTTAAATACCTCATCATCCTGTTTAAAAAAAGAGTTTTGTTCTACTGTGATGTTCTTCTACACTCTACAAGTGTACTCACTCCCTTTGCTTCTCTTTCC